AGTTAAACATTCTAAATAATTATTTTGATGGCCCAACAAAATTATTTTTCAGATCTGTACCTGACTAAATTTTTAAATACTTCAACAAAACTGTAATTTTCCACATATACCATGTCGGTGAAAGATAATTCCTCGCAACTGGTTGTGTCGCAAAGATTAAAAGTTACGTACAACATTCAAGTAACGGTTTATTTTTTTGTTAGTGAATGTAATAATTAACTCGCCTATCCATTCGTCTTCGTTCTATTTTTTTTCTCATAAAATCCAAATACTCCCTTTCCCCCTGTCTTCAATTCGCACATTTTTGGGTTTGCTCTCTGTTGCCGAACTTTCTTTACTTATCATCCTTTCTTCTTTTTTCTCTGATTTAATTATACTTTGAGAAAGCGCAGCGCTGCTGCGAGAAACAGGTTTTTAATCGTATTCGTTCGCTGAATTGATTAGTATTGCACGTTGATTAATAAACATTAAAAACCAACAAACATTTAAAATGTTTGACGAGTTTATATGCATATAACGCATATAATGTATGATAATATATAAATATGAATGCATATATGATAATATATAAATAGATGCGCGAGAATAGCATTCATATGCAAGTGTTTTGTCGCGATAGGCAAATCCAACTGTTCGACAATACACTCACGAAATCCACAAAAAAACCGAATGAAGCTTATAATACAACTGACAATGGAACTTGGACTAATTAGACCATCTAATCCCATTGTTTACGAAATCTTTTCCGTTCGTATTCATCGTTGTATGATATGTTGCGAGTTCGTCATATTTTTAATAAAAGACATTCTTTTTTTAGTAAAAATGCACACATTCCAACTTCTTTGAAAAATCGAAAAGTGATTTTGTGGAAAACCTGTATGAAGAAGAAGACAAATAGACTTCAACACGGAAAGAACAATTTTACTGTAGGATTTAGAAATTTGGCCAAATACAGAGCTAAAAATTGATTTTGTTGGGCTCGAAATTATTATGTAGGACGTTTAAACGTTGATAAAAATATTGTAACATTTTTTTTTATATTCTAGCAACAAATTTGAACGTCCTACGTAATTATTTTGATGACAAAATTATTTTTCAGCAAAACTGTTCTTTCCGTGAACGAGAGATGCACGCAGTGGCCCGAACGAATAAATTTCTCAACAATAACAGTTAGATTAATTGGACTTCCGGATAATTCTTTTGAGAACCGAGTGCTAAGTCCACGCGGCGAAATCGAAGACAGATCGGGAGGGGCAAAGGGCATCGGATTTTTATCGATGTGAGAACACGTAGCTGCTCATGAAATATTAATAACAAACTTTACGACTATATCAAGAAATCGCGGGATATCAGCATTCGGAATTTTAGACGTGATAAGAAAGTCAAATACGATTACGCAGTGTATTTTAAACTAAATTTAGCAACTTATTTAAACTAAAGAATATTTAAACTAAAGAATATTTAAACTAAAGAATATGAATACATATTCTAACATATTTCAATTCTACCAAGTCATTGGTGTGTTACGTAGCTTGGACATGCTATAATCGTAAATTGCAAAAATTGCGTTCCGATAAAACGCGTTTCCCCCAAGCATGGACAAAGTCATAAAAATCTTGTAGATTGTTCTGAATATCCGTTCTGAATAAACTGATCATGATTCTCCGAGAACAATCTAGAAATTATTTAATTTTTAAATTTATTTTGTTTTTCTCTCTCCCTCTTAGAGAGAATCCGCGTATCGCAACGTTATAACTATAAGAATTAAATAATATATTTAAGGATATATGTTTTGTTTCGAAATTATTTATTCGATATGTATAATTAATTATTTTAGATTTCATGTATAATTTCTTCGATGCTTATAATAATACAAAATCTTCCTGTGTTATTTGTTATTTTAATTTTTTTACAATTGATTTCAGCAAACATTTAAACTATAACATTTTTGTCATTCGTGATAAATATTAATAATAAATGTTTTTTTTCATAAAAATGTTAAAAGTCATATTATCTTGTATATATTTTAACTTTTTTATCTAATTAATTCAAATTTATTTAAATTTATTTATTAAATTCGAAATGGTAATGTTTTTTTCAAATTTCAATAATTTTTTGCTGCTGTTGAATATACGTAATTGATGAATACATAATGCAACTATATTTTTTTATGCTTTCTTGTATATATATATAAATATTTATAAGATGCTTTATAAGATCAATTTACTTATTGCTTAAATTATATGACTTATCAAAATTATTTCTGTATCTGGCAAAATTTTTATATACTTCAGCAAAATTTCCGTGTTTTATATATAAAATAATATTTATATTATAAAATAATTGTTCATTTGTCGATTTATCCACTCATTAATGTATCATTATTCAATATCTAAGAGTAATTTCGATCAAATTTAATTAATCTGGAGTTTGGTAAATTCTTGATTGGTAATTTTGTCTTTTAATTAAAATTACGTGTAGTTCAAGCTACTTCATACAAACATTCCTGTTGGAATTATTACCGAAAAAGCTATTTTGAACAGAATTCTAACAATGTCCTCGTCTTTTCGAGTTCATTAATTTCATTCGTTCTCATTCATCTCTCGTTTGTAAGGAACGTGGCTAAACACGAAAGTAAAGAATTTCGCTCGTCGATGAAAGGCCACACATGCGTGTGTGTGTGTGTGTGTGTGTGTGTTTGTGTCTGTCGCGTGCGTGCACATGCCTGAGTCACACGCGCGTGCAAATATTTAATACCCGGACGTTCTCCACTTTCCGTTACACACACCGTTCCCTGGCACGGTTTCCACTCGTCAGCTTTGAGAAATAGTAAAAGCAGGCCGGAAGAAGGAATTCCTAGAATGGAGGCCTTCTCCGACGATGCAGGATCAACTCACCTTGAAGATCTCGGACTCTTCGACTCTCGCTGTCAATGAAAATATTACAGGTGTCGTCACCTTATCATGCCTGAGAGAAAGTCCAACTTTTTATCAACGAAGGCGCGATAAATATCTTAACCTGCATAACCATTCGGGATTTATTACGTTAGTGGTATTACTTTGTAAAAGAATTGTAATAACGAGCGAAGTTATTGAAAGTCTATTTTCTCGTCTATTCTCTTTAATTTTATCCATGATTGAGATATAAGCAACTTGGTGGTCAATTTTATTATAATATTCGCTCGTCACTGTGATATTTTAGAAAATTATTATCAACGTATTATTATGTACAATATTATTTTAGAAAAAAAATTATAATATCAAAACGAATAGTTATTGAAATTATATAGATATCTCGTGTTTTACTAAATTTAGTCTATCAGTAGACGATTTGATAATCAATCTTATTTTAATATTCACATCGCGTCGTTAATGTTAAAATTGAATTTAAAAAATTGGTTGATAAAAATTAGACTTGATATTTAGTACATGTCTTTTTCTTATATAAATTACTTCGTTGCACAAAGAGCACGTAGTTCAAGTAATTGGACCTTGCTCGCGATAACAACAGCGTCGACAATTACGAAATACCTATAACCATAAAGATTCTCGATATCGAGTGTGCCTGTTAGTACAAAGTCCTCTAGAAAATCTATGTAATCAAACTACCGTATTATATCGTGTAGGATCAATGGAAAGAGGCTCGCGGGAAATCCGACGATAGGGCGATAGGATCAACCCTAGATGTTTTATATGATTTTATATATAATTTACTTGGATACATACTCTAAGGTGTTCGTCGCGATACAATAGTGAGTCGTTATTACAACTGGTCTACGATTAACGGTGGCAGCTTTCGTTTTCGTCTGGCACGGCAAAATATATAATTTGTTTCGTCTCTCCCTTCCCCCCCCCCTCCCTTCCCCTTCCCTCCTCGCTCGCCATCCTCTGCCCCATCCCAGTCGTCCGTTGGGGGTCTCTCTTCTCTCTCTCCTTCATCCCGGAGCGAATGCAATCGCGATAGTCCTACGAGTAACCATTTAAAATCGTATTACAAGCATCGTCCATAGAAATACACATAGTTTATTGATAACACCAGCTGATCTCCCGCGGGCCCTAAGCGAGGTTCTCCGGCACGGTCCGGCTCGACGTCGTCTTCGGCGCGGCTGGAAAAAAAAAAACGCGATCAGACGGCTTTGTGCGAATTAAGTACAATCGACTGCCGGTCCTTGTGAAGACATGCGACATGACGACAGGATCTTCCAGGAGAAATTTATCGAAGGATACGCCAATATCGAATAGAGAGTATATTGATGCCGATAGAATTTGAACGCACGATTAACGAGACTGATTTATTCACTGAGATTTTATGGAATTGAAAAATAAAAATCGCTATAATTGATCGACTGTTATCATTATGACGGCACGACACAGCTTTCTTCGAAGCGTCAGCAAAAGTTTCGACTTTCGAAAGATCTCAAGTCGAATTCTCACTTAGTTTTTCTCTTCATTATAATCGTTTGAATGATATATATATATATATATCATGAGACTCAACCTGGAATATCCTGTACATCATATTGCGGAATCATTTGAGCTTTTCTATCTTTGCTCTTATCTTTGCGCCTCATTCGTGACTCATTAGTGACACGAGATATCTGAGAGAGATACGCGTGAGAATCCATTTTCTGTTTTCTCGAATGTTTTTGTGTGTCTCGATTCTTGAAACTTCGCAGCCTCGTGGTCTTCCAGTCTGATTCTATATTATCGAATTCTCAGAATCTTCAGAAGCTTTCTTGCGTCTCTCAGTCTCGTGTTTTTCGAGTTTTTATCGTTAGCATCGAACGCATCAATCGCTCGCTGTCGCTTATTCGACAGATACGTATTGGATGCGAACGGATGATCGTCTCGGCGAAACGGCATACGATCGAGCCGGCGAGCCTATTTAGAAAAATGCGTACAAAATAGGAATGTGGCGTACGCTCGATTTTCACTTCCCCCCGTGAGATGAAGGAAACGGGGGAAGCGTAGAAACGCGGCAAAATAGAATATAATACGGTTGAGAAACTAATAGATAATCGTCGAGCGACAATTTTTACTGGCCTCCGTATCGTTTCGCAGATCTGTTCCTTTTAGTCGCAATTCATCTTTTTCTTACGCCTCCAGTATTTGACGCGAGACAATACATTTCATGGAAAAATAGAAGACAAGTAGCAGGAAGCGTAACTAGAAAGAACAAATCTTTAATGAGATCGAATAATAAATTATGTGATACCAAACGGTACGCCGAACTGTTAAATCTGGCCGTTGAGGAAACGAAATCGAGTCGAGTTTCTCAAAAATAAGGATTCTCGAAAAGATCCATCGAGGGATTAAACGAACGAGCACGTCGATCTCGAGCCCTTCAAACGCGTCCGAGGAGAATCTTCCCGGGGAGAATATCGTGTGCTTCATCTCGCGGTAACCGAAGAGATCGCTCGCTACAGCGTTACAAAATGCTCACTCCCTCGCTCGTCTTGGCACAGAAGTAACTTAATTAGCTTATTTGCTAAACATACCGACGTGGACGGATTCCAGACGGCGCGTCCCGCTTCTAGTATAAACATTTCTCCTGTAAATGTCAACAGCACACCCGATGAATTGCAACTGCACTTCGGGTTATTTCCGCTCGCTTATCGTTCCTCTCAACTCCGAAGCTATCGCAACTTCAATCCGTAGTTCTGCGCTCATTTAATATCTTGTTTATATCGTAATTGAAAAATAAAAGTAGTTTTTGTGAAGAATATTATTGTATCAAAATGATTTTCTCGTAGAAAATTACAATTACAATATTTTTCGCACGTACAGTTGACGTTGTATTGATCCGAAATTGAAGCGATATGCCGCTTACATAAGTAGAAATTACTGTTTCGGAAATAAAACTTGGCACTTCAGTCACGATAAAGAGAGATTCAAGCGATTTTGACGCAAGGGGAAAGAACGAAAATGCGCGCCGTCTCGAATCACGCGATAGTCCAATACATCTAGATTTATTATTTATACAATGATCCGTCCTTATTTTAATCGATCTCTTGCGTCTATCGCAAGGCGCGACTTACATATACATGAATTAGACTTACATTTACGCTTCTTCTCGCTTTATTTATACATAAATATATATATTTATATAATATATGGCCGCTGTTCTTTTTGTGCATATCATGTTCAGCCTCCCTCTGCGGCGGATGACACCATTCGCGTAATGATTGAATAAAAAGTATGATTATCTCAATAATTTTCTCTTAGAAGTTAATCTCCTAAAGATCGATCCATTTTTTTAATTCATTGTAAATGTCTGCGCTTTTTAATATATATTTGAGTAATATGTTTAACATTCTTCTTTTGAATCGTATGTCATAATCTTTTTACAATTGTTTAACATATATATGCTAAATTTGAATTTTAAAATCCTCTTGATAAATTAATTCAAGAATCAAGAATAAAACGTCTACTTACTTTTGAATATGTATTTTTAAATTTTTTTAGATCTTCGCTTACATCTTGTGAACCATCGATGTCTCAATATTCGTAAAAAGAAAGAATATGAAGACTAGAACTGTACAAAAAATAGAAATTAAGATATCTTAGGATATCTTAGGATATCTTGCGTATTGTTTTTCAGAATAAAATTATAATTTTAATAATCTGCTTTCTAATAAAGAATCAAATAATTCTAGAAAAAAATATGAATTTCAGTTATATACTTGTAATATCAATATCATAATTTGAGAACATCAGAGCGATCGATCTCATCGTCTTCGGCAGATATATATATAATGCTCTCGTCCATCTATTTCAAAACACGAAATGCAAGACGCTCTATTGCCCTAATTGCAATTGCTATTGATATGAACAAACATCCTCAATCCTCTGTAATCATGATCGGCGGAGGGCGGCGAACATGGTGCTCTCGTTACGCAGAAAGATACATAAGCTTAAACGGAGCTAATTCGCGCCGAGGAAAGTACGAAAATTACGTTCTCCAAAAATTACGTCTACGTGGGTTTCTTTTTTGTACAGTTGTTATCGTGAAATGATGGCGATCGCGGTTAAATGCTGATGAGCGTGAAAGAACGATTGTGCATCTTTTATTCTCTTTCTCTCTCTTATCTCCTTTCCTTTTGGATATCAGATGGGAAACGCGAAACAGCGCAGGCGGACGAATCAGCGAACAACGAAACGAAAACGCAGGGCATCCACGTGAATCTCCATACAGCTCAAGACGATTCATATCGACAAGGATACCGTAGCTGATCTGCAACCAGTCGATCTTACACAGTCATTCAAGATTCTCGGATCGAAGAATCTTTGGACGCAGAAACTAAGATGTACGTGGATTCTCACAATAGATCAACAGTGCTAGAGATCAGATTATCGCAAATGCTTCATATTTTGAAACGCTTTGATTCTATAAGTCTTTCATAAATCTCTCGGTACATCGCTTACATCTTTCGTACATCTTCAGTTTCGCCCTTTCTCAACTCTTGCGAACTTTAGCGGGTGGATATTTTTCTGATTATCGCCCTGTTAAGCACGCAAAAAAATTGTCGATTTTTCCATGAACTCGAGAATTTCCACATTGCGCGCCGATCGAACCTGTCGTTGATCAAAACTACCTAACTCGTATTCGTCAATGTATAAATCGTCGATAAATAATGTTGCAGAGAACGCAACAACCACGCCAGAATAGGATTGTTCCTGCCTGCTCTCTTTCTCGCCGTCTGTTTTTCTTGCCGATCGACACGATTAGAAGAGGCCTTTCTTCTTGTTCTTCTTATCTTTACCGTCGACAGCCCTGAAAGGAGAATTTTCATATCAAGCACACGACTATTGCCTAATGTCGCGAGTCCTAATTGCACATCGATCGACGCTTTCGATATTTGTATGTTGCGAGCCATAAGATGTTTAATGAAGAAAGATGAAGGACGAAAGCGAAACAATTTTGATGAAAAAGAGCCAATTTTTCCGGAGCCAATTTTTCTAACTTTCATCCTAATTTTGAAGTAACTGCGAATATAATTATAAAATCACACACACACACACACACGCACACACTCTGTGTGTGTGTGTGTGTGTGTGTGTGTGTGTGTGTGTGTGTGTGTGTGTGTGTGTGTGTGTGTGTGTGTGTGTGTGTGTGTGTGTGTGTACATACATTCAAGGCGTCTACTCAAATGCTGTAAAAAATTCTCTGAAAATTCCATTGAAATTTTCAACTTTTGTCCAAAATTTCAGGTAAATTAAAAAATTTCTTAAATACAACTTTAAAATGAATTTTGTGTGCATTTTTTAATGTTTTTTTAATCACGAAAATCACTTAATATTTGAACTTAATACTTGACTTAACATCTTGGCTTCATCACTCTAAGGAGATTTCCTTTATAAAAATTCACAAGTTTATATCAAGATACATGATGACCTATATTCTGAATCCTCTTTTTATCGAAAAAAATATATCTAAAAGTGGCTTATTGCCAATCATAAGACTTATAAATCATTTTTAGAAGTACTTTTATCGATAAAAGAGGATTTACAATACAGGTTGATGTGTATGTCGGTGACTATTAACTTGAATGATTGACGGATTACTAACAATTGGTATCATAAAGATAAAATTAAAAAAAAAAATTAGAATTTAGAGATAAAATTAAAAAAAATTTTAAAAAAGATTCCCAGAAAATTACAATAAAATTCCGTAATGTTCTCTGATTTTCAAGAGTAAAAAAATTCTCTAAAAACTTCAATTCTTCCAGATTTTTCTAGAGAGTATAGACACCGTCATATGTAATACAGTGTTCGTATAAGTCAAACAAAAATTTATTTTTTTTTCCTTTTATTTTCTTTATTCCCTTTATTATTTTTCCTGAAATTTCACGAGAAAAACTCCGTTTATTTAATACGTTGTATTGCATACATCCTAGAGAGATGCAAAAAATTTAGATCCAAAAATATAAACAGTCTCAACAGAAATACCTGAAGCGAGACCGTGACTCGTCACGTACTGTTATTATGCAAAATTGTTAGCCTATCGTTATCATCGGTCGCATTCTGTAAAATGCAAAATAAATGTCTTGCGAATGAAAAATCTATCCATGCGAAAAACCATGCTTTGAACCCATCCTTTGTTCGCGATCAGGGAGCAACATGCTAATCTCATCGTGTGTGTCCAAAAATCAAGTATTCACTTCGTACTCCGTGAATTTTGTTTAATTCTCGCGGCAGATATCACGTTTGTTTCTTACGTGAATATAAAGTTGTCATTTGTATCTCGCATGTTGCTTGTACATTTGCACTCTCCAACATTTTATGCAAAACTGCAGAGAACACGTTAACATATCGTCATTTTAATGAGTCCTCTCAAGGGAAACGAGGACAGAAAGACAAAATTAATTTAAGAAAGAGAATTCACTTGCACTACTGACTCTAAGTTTAATTTGCTAGGTATGAAATATTTTATTAAAGAAATTAATTATAAAAAGTCGGATTTTAAAGTGACGATATGTGACGAAACAGTAAAACATTATGCGCAGACTATGGCACATGATGAAAGGTGACGAGAGAAAATTACGTTTCATCTTTCGTTGGATTTTCAACGACGTATTTACACATTTATCTTCTCCGTCGAATTTATTTACCCGTAACTTTCCCTCGTCACATCGCACACGCTATTCCGACAAAGCTAAATAATCGCAACAAGAGGATTGAAAACGGTTAGTAAGTTGTTTTAGGTAAGCATTTATTTGCGAGAAAAAAAAAAGATTATCGATTATGAAATTAACAATGTATATAATTTGCGTGTGATCATTAGTAATAGGCAGTTACATCCTCTACCAAGCTGTCTTCTGCTTCCTCTCTTTGGGATCGATCCGCGATTCGGAGAGTCTCGTCGAAATGAAACGCGTACATATCACGCTTGTGCGAGCGATTTAATTAATCAGCGAGCGCTCTTGAGCCAGTGGTCATTACTGCGAGTGGTATAACGAAAAGAACCGGATAGAATCGACAGCTTGCTCAGAGTTTACAATCGGCAGGAGAACTTGACGAATCGCGCCTGCGAGCTTGCAAAGGCGGTTTTTAATCGTCGTTTAATCGTCAACCCTTTACCGCGCGTCTCTCGCGATCGGGACCCTTTTCTCACGAAGATGCTTGTCAAACGTTAAGATTTTCTCGCGCGACCTTCTCGCCCTCGCGCAACCCTCGGAAAGACGAGAAACTTGTCAAAAAGAATCTCATTTTTGAATCTCTCTGCGTTTTCATCACGACGAACAGGCCAGGCTCGTCTTCGCCACCCCCGCGACACAAAAATTAGATACAAAGCCACGCTCAAATTCGAGATTCGGCGACCGCGAACCGAAAGTGAAAACGTGAATGAGGAACACGCTTACTTATTGAAAGTGGATGGAGAAGAGAGAAGAGGCGAGTGATTATGGCACGCGATGCGGTAAAGGGTCGAGGTGTGCGCGCGCGCGCGTATGCGTATGTGAAAGAGTGACGAGTACAAAAAGACGACGCTCCTGGACGCACGAGGACGAGTGACAATCCCGCGTCTCCTTACACATAATCTCATGGTTTATCAAAGTCCGTGCCAAAAATACGTTGCTAAATGTACACATATATATATATATATATATATCGCTAACATTATACTTAGTACGTGCGTGCTGCGTGTCGCCCGTGATATTTGCTCCGCGTTTGCGATGCAACGAGAAACGCGAGAGAAGATGAGATTCGCGTTCGTGAGAACGGACAGGTCGCATGAGACGCGTGTCGTCTAACGAGTGAGTTTACAGCGGGGAAAATCTGGACCTGAGGCAAGGTGTCCTGGAAAAACCGGGAACCGGCTGGGACGAGCGTGAGAAAATTCAGATGGAATTTTATCTTGGCGACGAACCGTTAGGCCGGAAATTTTCCTTGAAAAATTGAAATCCGCAAACTTCAAGCTTCTTTCGAATCGTTCCTCTTTCTTTAAATTGATTTACTTTTAATCGAGCACTGCTAAGATAATGAAATATCGATTCTCGAACTCTCAAAGCAAGACTTCGTAGTGTCTCTTAAATAAGAAACTTTTGCTCATTGATTAGTAACAATCGTGGAAATGAATTTGGAAGCGAACATTGACATTCGCGAGGCATGAAAGATCGATACCGACTTCGTCCAAGTCTTCCACGTCTTCCAGGACATTCCGATTCGACGTTTCTCAGCTTTTAATTAGCGTTAAAAATATAACCGTTGTACGCAAACGTTTCCTAACGAGGCTCGTAATGATTAATTAACACGTGAATGAAACGCGATAACGAGCGAGATGAATGCGATCGAGTATAAAAGAGTGAGATTTATTGAAAATGCGTTTAAACTTCGTCTATATTGTGTCTATATTGTGTGCGACGTCCTTACGGCGTTATAGTTCGGGACGCTTCTCGCTAGAAATATACAGTCACTTTGGATTTTACGATATGTATCGAACGGGTTAACGAGCGCACGCACACGCGTGTCAAAGTGAGTGAGTGCGGCCTATACAAAGCGATAATATCTGTATATTCAATTTTTACATCTGTCTAATGCAAAGATTAAAAATTAGAGACAGATTGGATGAGAAATTAATTAAGTTTAAAAATAAAATTAAAAAATCCGTTAACTCAGAAGAATTATTTTGATGTTTTCTAAAAATTTGAAATCTTGAATCGACGAAAGTAAACTGATAACAAATTAAAAAAAAATTAGATAAAATTTAAAAAATTATTTAACAAAAGAGACTTCCCATTTTTGTCTTCATTTATGATGATATCATATGAAATTTATCATATTCAAGTTGACAAATCATTCAGATAGGCGGCACTTACTCTTCTCGAGTACGATAAGATATTTCCTCTCAACCCTTATTCAAGCAATCAATGTCACATATGGCGTATTTGAAAATAAAAAACTTTCCTTTTGATTTGAGCCGACTGCCGACTAATCTAAAACATTTTGATTCTCGCTCTTGCCGACCCAACGAATGTTTCGTCGGACGATTTGCCACTGTTCGGAAGAGAGGACAATCGCAACTGGATAAGGGTTGATAAGGGTCGAGCACGAGGAGGAGTCTCGCGTGACAATCTCGGAAGCGAGATCTCGCAAACGAGCGAGAACGGTCTGGGAGGCGGTGCTATTAGGGGTGCTCAGGATGCTGTATGACAAGCTGTATCTGTGCGGGGCTGTCTTGAGGTGATTTGAAACTGGTGTGACGGCGAAGGAGGCTGCCTATCCCTCGGGACCCCCTCAACGTACCCCCGCCGCCTCCAGATCCCTCGGAGGACACCGATCCCGTCCTAGATCAGGAGGACACCCCGATATGGTATACACAAGAGAGACAAAGAAACCGGAATTGTTTTTTTTTCTTTTTTTTTCTTATAAACGTACATCCGACGGCAAGCTCGGATGTAAAAAAAAAAATATACGCGCACTTAAGCCTACTATGTTACTCGCGCGAACGGAATATTGGAGAACGTCGCCGACGTTTCTTGCACGACGAGCTTTCCGTCTCTTGCCGATTTTCGCGGGAATGATGAAGCAACGTCGGCGGCGATTTAGCGCTGAATGTCTCGAATCAAGATATTTTCCTTCCGTATCTCTTAAATGATAAATTTGTGTTGCCTGAATTTGAAAGGGGATATTTAACATTTAATATTGCATTAATAATTTTATATATAATAATAATCTAATATCTCAAGTTAAAATGAATTAGAGACTCGTTCAGCGCTAAATACATAATAATACGAATAAAAGTCATAACATATACATGTGCGAACAATATCGCGTTTATATAAATTATAAAATCAAATTTATTCGACGGCGACGGTCTTAAAGTCGAATCGAAAAATTTTATTTATTACGATTATTATTTCGTTATTGGTGCAAGCTTTGTGAAAGTGATCGGCGTGTAAAGGGTCGATGTCAAGCGTGAACGGACTCTATTGCGGTGTGATAACAATTAAATTGCACATCAAAATCTAAATACGTAGCGGCTAAAAATGCTACAGCGAGAGCAAAGTTTACATTGTACTACATTGTACCTACTATCGTATCTTTCCTTTTATTTATAAACTTTTCTTTAAAAAAAAACTTTTGATAAAAGATTAATATAATTAACAATATTTTAAAGATAAATTTCTTTAAAGATATTCTATGCCCACTTTTGAAATACAAACTATACATTATACAAATTATACATTATACAATACATTAATACTGATTTTATGTTTTCAATTTATCAAATTTAATTAAACAAATTTACTTAATGATATTAAATAGCTTTTGTGACAACGAGAGCCCGCTGTAATTTTACCACAAAACTCGACTCCATTTTTGACAAACGATCCCTGTAGCCGGAAGAAGATACGGTGGCAGAGCACAGTGTACAAGAAAGCTATCAAGCTGCGTCAGACTCTAATTGCGCCAAGTGCTTTTACGCCGTCAAACCGGACGTCTAAACTCCGAGAATCATACTGAATCACCAGCGGCTAAGCGTCAAGCTATTTATAACGTTGATCATTTGTAAATGTTAGCAATCAAAATAAAAACTTTTGAAAAAAAAAAAAAAAACAGAATAAAGCTGAATGTAAAATGTTTCTATAAAAAAAAAAATATTTCGTGCGAGAAACAACGATATATCTTTCTCGAAACACAACGAAGAAATAAACGTGTGAGAGTGCAAAAAACACAACATCTTTCTTCCCTCTTGCTTCCGTCGGGCTGCGGGCTACTTACTCTTTCGAATTCGCTTCTAAGCTGCGTCTACGTAATTCTTCAATACTATGGCCGGTCTGCTGCTCCCAGGCAGTTTTCTCCGCCTCGAATGCTCGTCTCTTCTCCTCCAGCTCACGCACTTGCTGCTCCAACGAGCGTCGCATTTGTTCGTGCCTTCTCTGTAACTATTCCCGGATTTCCCGTATCTCGACGTTAGTATTACACGGACAATTACACTTCACCGAGTAATGCATAAGGGCAACGCGAGATAGGACAAGAATTCACGTCGGAACAAAAAAGGATTATAATTAAATAATTATCTTTCTAAATCTCTTTTTCTTTTTTTCCATTAACTTCTAAATAAGTAGTTATGTAATAATAGGATAAATTTTCGCAAGTCTTGACTTATACTTGAGATAAAAAAAAATATGGATGATTTCACTTACGTCTGCCTCGGAATCTTTCAGCTTTTGCCTCTTTTCACGAACTTTCATCTCGAAGACTTGTTCCATTTCCGTTTCCATCTTTTTCATCTTGTTATCGTGTTCACGCTTCTCCTCTTCCAGCTGCGCCAATGGGTTCCTAAAAAGATTCAAGCAGATTTAAACTAAAATGTATGAAAAACCGAATACCGAATCGCCGGAATACAAATGTACAGAGACAGAATGACGCGTGAGGGAAATTTAGACGCTAATTTGGTACATAGTTAATTGTTAATGAGCGCGCTACTGTATCTGATGAAATCTCATTAGCTCTTTGTAATACAAATGAACTTTGTCTATGAAATTCTAATAAAATAAATTTTTTATTCTTAGTACAGAGACAATTATTAATAAATTACTAAGTTGGTTTTTCCGGATTATCACGAGTAATGCATAGCATTGCAAAGAGATAACAAAATATCACATTAACTGATGTGAAAAAATCAGTCGTCCGGTATGACGAATATAAATATTCTGAGAAATTACGAAACTAGAGATATACGTATCTCTCTAATGTACTTTTTATCGCAAGAGGGAGATAAGTGAAAAAAATAATAAGAGAAAAACTATATCTATAACAACGCGATAGAATAGATAATTCGCCGGCGGTAAGCTTTTAAGTACACTTTAGGACCTATAAACAGTTAAGAGTTAAAGGTTGCTCTGGAACTTGGATTTGCATCGAATCGATATTACGCAAATTACGCCCGATAATTGGTTCGTTACTGCGGCAATTAAAACATCGGCTCTAAATCCACGGAATCCGATTGCATTCCGGAAGCTTGTTACAATGCATGCAACATATTATTACATATATAGAAATCTAACTATATTATATTTATATTATGTTTTGCATTTACAGATAGCACGAAAATATTTTATGTATAATCGACTGTCGTTGATATTTGCAATATTCATTTTTTTTTATGCGTGACGCAAATCAGGACTCTTATATAAACAGTTGGCACACAACAAAGTCTTTAAAGCCATAATATATTTACAGGTGTTATGAAGGATACCATAAGAGTAATTAGACAAATTTCTTAATTACATAAAGGGATACTAACTATTGTTACGTGTTGCTAAATACTAATGCAAAAGTAAACATACACAAATATAAAGGCATCAAGCAAATCTAAATTGTACATTCAATGTGAAAAGTCTAATATACCGGTTTCTCTCTTTTTAAATTGCATATAATAATCTTGTGTTAGATATTTCTCTTCGGAGGACTCACTGAGCATATCAAAAGTAATTAATATGTAAATCAGATGAGAATATACAATTTAAAAAAAACACATAAAAAATGCCGAGTCAGCAGAAGATGAACAACTTATATAATTACAAATTAAATTAATTAATATTTCAGTTTAATTATATTCCGATATGAGAATAAATTAAATTAGAGAAAAAATTACAATTTACGGATTTAGGGCGATGTTTTTTTCATTAATTTTCTCTAATAATCTCTCTTTTTCTCTCTTATGTGCAGTGAATCCTCCCAGGTTGAAAGATCCCGGGGAAAGTCTCGAAAGTCGACAAGGCTTGTGCACACAAAACCATATATCCTTTTGAGCCTTATTAAAGGACTTACCACACCGTCATGAAACTGTTCATCACTCCTGGAGGGCACAAACTGACCAATAAGAAATTCACCATTAAAATTTGCAATACGCGATACGCTGTCGAGGGGGGTTGGTCGATCCGTTCGTTCCTCCCGCACCCTCGGCAGCGTTCTTGTATCTAATCTACGAATACAAAATCCCGCTCGCGATCAAGACGCTAAAATAATTCGAGCGCAAGAGTCACTGGGGCCTTCGATAGTTTGCATGCACAACCTTTTTCTGAATTCTTGTCAGGATGATAAGAAAAACGAGAATGAAAAGATAGAAACATACCGTGTAATACAAGCATGTTTCAAACAGTACACGCAATTGACTCGCAAGAACCACAGCGTTATATTATTGGTGATACTGAAGCTCGAGATAAACGATCATTTCATCACGCATACACAGCCGAGTGCTCTGCCGTGACACACTGCGTGCTCAAATCAAACTCAACGAAACAAACAACCTTGCTCGTGGTTTTGAATAGAAAAAGCGAGCGTCGTAAGCAAGCGGGCCCGACTAAAGAAGATAAGTAGCCATCATTTTTATCGCGTCCGGCAATAATGTTAATATTGCACCACTGGGGACAGGTAAATTAATAAATTGGATCACATTATGCGATATGAAGCTAAACGGCTAGCATATTAAAAGATACATGTTTTCGGTGCTGAAGCTTATCATTTGATTCTAGACTAATAATTGAATTGACATAAGGTGCATAATTCGATTATTTTCTTTTTTATTAAATCATGACGCTCGATTTGTCTATTTCAACAGGACAAGACACATCTATTTCTCGACTGTTCTAATACAATTATATTTTCTCCATGTAATCAAACAAGAAATTGCAAATGTACTTACTTGTTCGAGGCTTTCGTTGGTTTGCCATCTACGCCTAGACCGGCCAAAGTACGACACCGGAAGTTCTCATAGTGTACGTTGTTCGTCACGTCTTTTAAGTCCTGCACGTGCGTCCTTACTACCATGTTTCGGAGCGCAATAAAGTCGCAATGTTCCAGGTTCTCAACTACGCACAAAAACAGAAAACATGAATTATAAAACGATATATAAAAAAAGATATTATATTTTTAAGATTTCAAATAAACTCTAAATGTTTAATTTTATATATATATACACACACACACACACACACACACACGACGCGCGCACACACACACACACACACACACACACACACACACACACACACACACACATATATATATTATAATTATTAATATGATTTATTTTAATATAAATAGTGTTAACTCCAAGAATAAATTATATTCCATAATTGTATTGTGTGATTTGTGGGTTACTATGTCATTGTTAATGCCAATATTTTATGAATATTGTAATTCACTTTATTAATGAGAAGCAATTATCAGTATCAAATTGATATTAATAATATTTTATATGATAATGCGGTGTAATCTGCAAACAACACAATTTTGAAAGAAATATTCACGAAAATTTTAAAAATACATCCCGTAATTATCTAAAGGTTAATTTTTTCCAATCAATTCTTGTTCAATTATTTTTTACACACCTTCTGCAACTCCCCATGGATATTTTCTGCCCCGTACTTTCTTCCCGTCGTGTTCGACGACAGTATTTGCCCCCACGACCGCGAACGGAACTCTGTCCCTTAACAATTTGTGAAATTTGTTATCCTCCTCTTCCTCATCGACCTCCGGGAATTCATAGATCTTTATTTTGTGTTGCGCAATCTCGTTCAAGATCTAAAAAACGAAGCAATAGTTAAATTTAGAGGAGAAATAGTATATGTAAAGAGATTAATTGTTATTAAATATCTTATTTTTTATAGACTTATATAAGAAAGAATTTTGTAAGGATTTATAATAATTTCTAAACATAGTTGCTTTTATAGTAAAAAAAAATTCTTTTTCTCTTTATAATTAAACTACTCGTACCTGTTTTTTGAAATGTGCGCATTCATCCGGCGTCATAGTGTCCGCCTTGGCGATAACAGGTATGATATTTACTTTGTCGTGGAGACGCTGCATGAACTCTACGTCGAGCGGCTTCAGTCCATGGCCGGAGGGTGCAACGAAATAGAGACAACAGTGCACCCGACTATCTGGGATCTGTCGTCTCGTTACGCGAGACTCTGCATTGAGAAACTCCTCATATTTTGACTCGATGTAATCGATTACAGGCACCCAACTAGACAAAGATAGGAGGTATTAAATGAGCTACAGAAGTTTAAAAAACGGGCGAGTTTAAAAGAATTTACCAGTTGCTGTTATCTACAGCATCACCGAAACCAGGGGTATCGACAACCGTGAGGGTGAGATTGACGCCGCTCTCTTTCAACAGTACTTTGCTGGTTTCCACGGCAACCGTCTTCTTTATCCTGAGACTGGGTCCGGGATATTCGGCACTATATATATCCGCCAGGAACATGGAGTTGATCAAAGTGGATTTGCCAAGTCCCGACTCTCCTGTGAAAATTTAAAAGATTCTTTAACAACTTCATATTTTGATGTAATTTGAAAAATTTGGCCTTTGCAAAATCGAGAAATTTCAATGACAAAAAATTAACACAAAATTGTACAATTACATGATATCCAACGTTACAAGAAAAATATTTTAATCACGCAAATAATTTGAATAACTAATTACAAAATTATACATTCTGCAATTTTAATTGTAAAAATGTTCTGAAAGATATCTAAATATTCAAATAGAAATATAATTTTTTATAATCTCTCTCGATAAATACACCGTCCTGCAAAGATATGGTTTCATAAACATCTAGTTTTCCGAAAGTTAATCCATGAAAAAGTACCCGTAATCCCCAAGAGCAACTTCCTAGCTATTAAATGTTCCGTCATCATGCCGGCGATCATTAATCTCAGTCGGATTATTTACGGTCAACGTTTCTGGGATTGTCTCGCGTCCAAATGGAGTCGCGGTCAAATAAATTCGGCGACGGTGACCGAAACGAAATGAAATGAAATGAAAATGAAATGAAATGAGATGAGATGAGATGAGTACCGTGACCTCTTAATGCGCGAACCTTGAACCAGGCGAAGTGCCGCGCCTACGCCTTCAAGAGAGCCAAGGGTAAGCTCTTGAATTGCTCTATTTACGGAGGAACGGCTCCGCTTATACGCGGGCTAATAATAGCTCCCGCACGCAGCAGACCACGCTCTCAAATTTCTCCAGACCCAATGACACTCTTTCACACCCGGGGTACATGCGCGTCGCGCGCGCTCGAGAGGGACAGTCTAGTCAGCACTTTTGTGTTATTTATTTCTTCTCCTCCACCTCCTCCTCTCGTCGAACTCCCGAATTTTTGAAGTATCTTCCATATTATTCTGTTTTATTGCGTGTCTATATCCTCCAGACCGATATTTAATTTCGTTTTATAAAAACCTCTTTACTACTCGTTATAAGTACTCGTAGATAATTGAACAGAAGACTATAATTCTCGTGTTAAGAATCTTCGATTACACCGCTGTTCCCGTTAAGACGACTCGAGTTGAATGATAAATCGAAAAGTGATATAGAGAGAAGCAACGCAGGCTGCAATTAACGATTTATAGCCTTTTTCAATCGACGGAATCGCAAGGTCGCTACGCGACTCGTTATTGCCACAAATTGACCGTCTTGAGTATCATAATTCGCGTAAACAATGGCCTTAGGTCGATGTAGAAAGGAATTTGACGATCGAGCATGACCCACAGATGTGCATTTCTCGCATGTGAGAACCGCTGCACCTCGGCGACAGCCTTGATCCAACGAGCGAGAAGAGAACCGAACGAGAATGAGAAAGAGAGAACTCGCACGTGTTCGGCAGATGGAAGGTTGCATCGCGAGATGATATTCCCGACGAAATGGGAATACCACCGCCACTGCCAAAGAAACGGATCCCTTTGTCCTCCGACCGGGCCAACCCGCGCGAGACAGACGGCCGTTGTTCTTCCGCTGCCGCATAATGGACATTTTAATGCCCAGCACCCGTAAAGCGGATCGCGTTTCCCGCCATGAACAGATTCGACCTCAATTGTAGACTTCGTGGCGCTTCCACGGGAATTGCCGCGATTACATCTTATCGATCCGTTTAATGTTGCCTTTAAAAGAAAAAAATGTTGTTTATGCACGTTTCTCTATTTCATAAACGTAACGATCGATTAATTTTATGCCCGATCGCATGGAAAAGATAGCTATATGCTAAAGTAAAAATTCAGATCAGATTCAGATCTGAGAATAATATTACTCGGCCATCAAAATAATTATAGAATTATGTTTAAAATTTTTTTCAGAATTATCATTATAGTCAAATCTACATAATTATTTCGATGGCCCATCTCAATTTGGCGAAATTTTTATACAAAAATTTTCAACAAAACAGTCATTTCATAATAATAATATTACTGTAAAGCCACCCGATAACTTGTACAATTCGTGTTAAAGTAATTTGCGAAACGATCACACTTCCCAATTTCCAATTACGGACCGTCTCGTAACTGACCTACGACCATGAGCGTGAATTCGAAGCCCTTCTTCACGGCCTTCCTGTACACCTGATTGGGAAGGTTCACGAAGCCGACGTAGCCGTCGAGTTCCTTGGGCTTGATGGGTGGCGTGGGCCGCGCATGGTGCAACAAACTCGTCTCCTTGTTACTGTCCTCCTTGGAAGAGATCGCGGTACGGGCCGACTCGCGCCTGTTGCTGTCCTCCGAGGCATCGTTCGGGATTGTCGTCGTCGCCGCAGATGGCAGCCGCGATTTCGCGTTGAGTCCGGTCAGGCCCCCGCCGCTGGAGTACACCGGCGCCGTGTTCGGCGACGTGAGGCTGCTGGTTGTCGTGGCGTTCGCCACCGAATTGTTCACCTGAGACCCGGGGGTCTGCGTTGGCGGCTGCGGTGGTGGCACCGACGGCACCGACGGTGACGAGATTATTCCCGCGCCATCGCCCTTAAAGAACAGCTCACGCTTCGTCTGAATCTGTGAAAAAAAAAGAGCAATTGTTTTACAAAAATCATTCTCCGAGATATAACAGAAGATCGATTGAGATTTTATCTTATTTTTCAACCGAATTTTATTATTCCGCTCGAAACCAAGATGGGTCTTTTCGAAAATTTGATAAATTAGTATAATGTAATATGCGTGTTTTTTTTTCTGTTAAATTAATGTAGATTAAAAAATAAGATTACGGTTCCGTTACGCGTTTCAGATTTTAATACGGTCGAGCGCGAACGAGGACGAGACGCGTCTGTTTTTCACGATTGCAAGACTCGCCGGGAAAAGACATTGTTTCGTGATACAGCCGACAAATGCAGCCGGCGATTCCGCGTGTTACTCCGACCGTGACGTGCTCGTACAACGTGAAACGCACGTAAACTCGCGAAAGAGCACCATGGAGCGATAAAATCGCATCGCCGCGCTGCTGAAGGAGCGATCGATATTACATGCCGACTAACGACGGTAGCGCGGCTTCCGCTACCGCAAAGTCTTACACACTTCCGACCGGAAGTGGTCTGAGTGCTAAACATCGACCGTTACTCGAAAGACAGCAAAGCTGCCGCAATGCCCAACGGAAAAGAAAAAGAGGATTAGCAAACCTTTAAAAACGCGAAATTAAAAAATGGATTATGTTCTTGAGACGAGTTTACAACGTTTGAACTTGAAATTTACATATGTTACATGTTAACTACATGTTAATTTGAACATGCAAATAAAGAAATAAATTAGCATATTTTAACATAATATGTAGCACTATGTTGTTTATGATAACGTATTTTCTTTGAAATAAATAAAGAATTTTTCTAAAGAAAGAAATTCCTAAAGAAATTAAGCTTCTAACACAAGATGATCATATTCCGATCGATTAAAAAGTTCTAATAAAAAATTGAATAAGGGCTGCTAGTTTCATTCCCTTATAAATACCAAATAGGATTTTAAAAATATTAATAATCCCTTTTATCGGTGAAAAATATCAACCAAATTTAATTTAATTTGTTATTAATTTGTTCAAAATTTGAAAAAAAAATAAATAAAAATTTAATTTTTACCTTCTATTTTGTAACTCCTCCAGGGAGGAATTCAAGATTATGTATGAAAGCTCGCTCTTAATTTTCGACAAAGACTCATCTCTTAAAATTTTTCGTAGTTATTTAGAATTATCACTCTTGATATAAAAAAGAAACAAAATTGGGCGCCAATTACGACAGAAGAGAATCGAGATTTGTTTTTTTTATGAAAGAAACGGAAGCTCTTTATTAATTCAACGAATATCTCCGAATTAAATCTCCATTGAGCTGAGCTGATAAAGTATTCATAGATCGCCTCGTGCGATTAGAAAAGGCGACTGGCCGCATGAGGCCTAAGTGGCCATCGTTTCGAGACATATAAGGGAACGTTACAGGGAAACCGCGGGTACGCCACGCGTTCCGTTACACTTGGGTGCTGATCGCGGAATACAAATGAATCAGATTTGTCTCTGTGTGCACACAAGTGCGACGACTCGTAAACACGGCGTGCGTAAGGTCAAGAACGAAGAAAAGACCCCGCCGCCATCAATCGGTTCTAACGAACCTGAATCACCAGTTCAACCACCCGATCGCTGTCGATCGCTGTTTATCTGAATTTTTATCGAATCCCCTCTAACTCGACAAATTCAGGCTGCGTTCCGATTTACTCTCGGCATCATTTGTCCTCGCTTTTGGACATTTGGACAAGGAACAAGGATGAAATGATTCTAGCGCTTCGAGTGTAAACTCCGGGACGCAACTTTACAACTTTATCTCCCGTTCGAGATCTGCTCTCATTTGTCCACATGGATACTGCCGTAAAATAAGCCAAATCGCGCGTGTTTCGTCTAAATCGTAGAGCTGATACGATCATCTCCCCTCGGAACGAAGGGCGACAAAAATAAACGTGATTTTCCGCGGGATGTTGGGAAGGAAATCTTATCTGCCGGATGAAGTCTCGCGTATGTTTAAGAAACTCGAATTGAATTGGCAGGATTGTCGTCGCACATGAGATACGTAATCCTGATCAACACGAGACAAGATCTTCGCTCTCTCGAGGCGCGAAGATTCTCTTCGCTTATCTCATTCCGCCGAGTCAACGTACGAACGATTGCGCTTTAAAAGCACTTCACGCGTGCACGAGGAACGGCAAGCGGGGAGACGAGGGGGAAAGAGGGGGGAGGCGGCAAATGGAGTGCAGCGGAGTGCCGTAGTTTAAAGCGCTGCAGCTTTGTTGCAACCGGATAAATCTCCAACCGTCAGTGAGATATCCGTCGAATACTTCATTAAAGCGGACGATATTCCCGGGTCTTTTTTGATAATTTGTTCGTACGATATGTCAAAATAAAACGATAAAAATGTGAGTATTCTGATTATCAATTGATAACGAATGTAGAAACAATATCAATTATCTTCAGGCGCGTCTAAAGAAAAGATGAAAGACTCGAAGAGAAATTCAATGTCCTTCGCGAGTTTTTATAAAAATTAAAAAATGACTTTACTTCCTTTCTTTTTCAAAATGCTCAATGTCATTAATAATGTAATGTTAATTAAATGTCGGTTACTTTTTGCACTTTTGCACAACCGTCGATTCGCGCGCAGGCCGGACTCGACAACTCCGAGAGAACCATTTTATATACACGTCGCTCGTAGTTATTGTTTTTCGCCGTCGAGAAACAATGATATAGTGCGCCGGGACTCCCCTGCGGGGGGGTACGACGATTTGTTTTTTTTTCTCGCTTGGTGCTACTTCTCTCGCGTACACAAAGTGACTCTGGGAACCGTACGATTCGTGTGCAACAACAGAAACCGGTCCAGCGCGCGCGATGCAGCGTCATTCCGGGAATATAAAGCTCGCGACTGTTACAAGTCTTTCGGAGAAAATGGCTATATCTTTTGGAGAGGGGGGAAAAAAGAAAGGAAGGAAAAAAAATAACGATGACCCGATTTCGCGTCGGATACACTCAGAGATATTTCTCAGCAAAAGACGCGGAGAACTCGCGGGAAAAAGAACTTTGCCTCTAACGAAGTTGCCTTAACGAGCTACGATCTTGATCGATTCCCTGAAACGCGTAAGTGAAACGTTTATCTTCTTACTTAAAAGTTATACGTTAACGCGATTGAAGAGAGTAATTATGTGCATCTGCACGTGCGACGTGATAAAAATATAAAGCAAAATGAACATCTTGATAAACCAATATCGAGAGAGTCGCAGAAGCGAGCGTGGCGGATTCAAAAGACTGTTAAAAATCTTACTGGGAGGCAGCCTACCGATTCCACTGAAGAAATCTCAGATTTCTCCGAGCAGAACGAACGCCCCAAACACATTCCGCGTGAAAACGCAATCTCGCACAGAACATACACTCTCCCTTTTCCCCGGCCACCGCTACATTAATTTCGATCGTCGTTATCTTCGGCCTCGTATTATCTCTGAACTCGCGCGACCCAGAGAACGTCTCTCCCTCCCCTCCTCGTCCTACCGTGACCCAACTTTGGTTTCCCAGGCTTGGGAACCCCTGCCGTAGGTCAATACTCTCGGCGAGGTTCACCACCGCCACCGGGTGGCGAGTCATCGTCGTCGTGGTGACTCGATTAAATCGATTCCGTGGAAAATGCATCGCGAGCGCGCGTCACGGGGGCGATGCTTTTGTACCGACGAGCTCTTCTCGAATGCGAGCGATCCGTATAATCCTCTCGTGTAGAGGAAGAAGGAATATTCGCTGGCTCCTTTCATCTCCTTTCGAGTCTCCGCCGCCGGCTGGATTGCCGCGCCGCTCTCGATGATCGTCCGCCGACGAATGAACTTTCACCTTAACGGCCGCGTTATGTTCGCGCCGTTCGGCACGTGCTCGCTCCGTTTTCGACGGAGGGGCGAGAGGGGCAAGAAGGACGGGAGAGACGGGGGCACCGTCGGCGTGCGGCGTCTGAATCGAGAGATTCTTTCGCGTAAAGCGCCGTGAGAAAGGAAGGCAGATACGGTAATGAGCACGGTTTTCATTAACGAATTCCTTTTGACGAAAGTTCCAACTAGGGGGTCTAATAAGCACATCCGTTACAATGTTCAATAAGCGGATATAAATATACGTGCTTAGATTTAATATCCTTAAGCGATCCCCTTGTACTTCGCGACGTGATTCTCGCAAGCCGCTTATTAAATACCACTCACTCCTGTAATATTCCATGTAATTACGTTTTTATTAAATTCATCGTTGTTTGGAGTTAAACGTGGAAGGAGCGTTTCTCTACGACGAGAAGATTGTCTAAAAGCTGTTCTTTTAATAGCAAGTAGCTGTATATTATACGTGCGGGAACACGTAAGCCACGTTAATTGTTAAATGAGAACAAACACGTGAGCGTACCTCGAAAGAGACTGATAAATGATAACAACACATACATTTAACGCCTACATCGATGCTGTCATATTGTCAAGCTAAGTTACATCGCGTATCAGATTGCCTCGATATTATAATTCACCATTTTTTTATCCGCATAAAAAAATTACATAAATAATCCTATAAAGTAACACGTAAACATTTACAGATCGATAGTGTTTAATAATAAAAATGCAAAAATAAAAATAATATACTTGATAACACGTTAAAATTTTTATTGTATAAAAAGAGGGGGAAATTTTTCTAATTTCGCTCGTTTATAATTCTCCTCTCGGATAATGCGTCGTTTTGGCACGTGTTTTCATCAATTTTGCTGTTACAGAGATTACTCGAGTAAGGCAAATGTAGGTCCGCTTGCATAATAGACGCACTCATAAAATTCCAGCGAACGATTTCCTCTCTCTCTTCCTTTCTGCCGAGCTCGCCGCTCGTTTTAATATTAATGAGGCAAGCTGACGATTCGATCGCGAGGAGCCGCTTTTTCAAACACCCCTTTATTAACCGCAGAATTATTGCTTTCTCTCGACTCCCGATATCGATCGCATCCTTATGCTCATTAACATGTATAAATCTTTCAATCTTT